TATGCAGCGGAAGTCTGATAACGAACTGACTCACATAGACTGACCTACATGGCATCACTCCRCACACATACAATCATGAGATGGTGGGGTCTGGGTCATGCATAGACGATACCCAGATCCCGTACACACATACACAGATGAAAGGTGGGAGGAGAGACGAAGGAGGTAGGAGGTAGATCACACCGATAGGTTACGAGATAGAGTCCGGTAGGTCYCCAMAATGGTAGTCCAGAATGTCATATAACAAGATCAAARTGTCGAGGACCAAAGGTCACCAATGTCGGAGATAACCGAGTCCAGATGTAWCCGGTGTCCADCTGTGATGCAGCCGAGTATCAACCTCAACAATCTCCAAGTCTCCAATCAGGTAAGTACCACAGTCTCGTATCACSGAAATCCAACCCTGATCTCTATCCAACTGGATAGTCTCCAATCTTGAAGAAGAAGAAGAAGAAGAAGAAGAAGAAGAAGAAGAAGAAGAAGAAGAAGAAGAAGAAGAAGAAGAAGAGGAGAGAGAGAGAGAGAGAGGACTGGCGAGGGAGAGGAGGAGAGACCCTCCAAGCTCCCGGTACCTCAGGCGGCAATGGCCGCCGTGCTGGTTCAGTCGCCCTGCTGCTGCTCCGCTCGCTGCTGCGCTATGCTGCACTCCTGCTTCAGGCCCTGCGCTAAGTTTAGCGCATCAAAACAGTACGCTAGTACTGACCATGCCGTGCCGGTAGAGTTCCGGTAGGCCGATGCCTCAACTGAGGCGGGTACCGGTACTTATATCGGTAGGCAATGGTCTGGCCTCAATGCTGCGAGGCCAGGCCAGACCCTGGACCGTCCAGATGGACGGTTCAGCCTCAATCGGCGGGCGGCAGCTTCAAGAGCGCCGCCAGGCCCAAACGAAGTGTTGTTTGGGCCTACCCGATGGTTGCTGGTCCAAAATCAGGCCTTTAGGACCTGTAACCCCAAAAGGTCGGGCCTTTAGGCCCTGGTGTGTTCCTCCGGCCCTAAGTCGGGTCCGGTAGGACCCGTGTGAGCCGAAGATGTAACAGTGCCTGTCTCAACAAACAATAGGCAAACGTAGACTGTGCTAATAGTTATCACTAAAATAGTACATGCACCTACTTTCCAATCCATGTGTGGAAGCATGGCACGTGTTTCTCAGCATGGCACCGATGCTGTGTAGTGTGCAGGTTGCATCATTTCATTGAAAACTGATCTCCTGTCAGCACATGGAAAGAGGTACGACCACATTAGCACGTTCTGCCATTTCTCTTGCACAGAGAGAGAGAGAGAGAGAGAGAGAGAGAGAGAGAGAGAGAGAGAGAGAGAGAGAGAGAGAGAGAGAGAGAGAGAGAGAGTGTTCCTCAAGGTACGCTCATGCAATAGTTCTTCTTCCAATGCCAGAATCTATCACGCTTGGTAGTTTCCTATGTATCACGGCCGCGGCCGCGGCCACAAACTTCACCGATTTTTCCCAACCAAAATAATTGGTTGTCGGGTTTTTGAAACCCTACAACCCCTTTCTTTTTTTGGAAACAAATAATTTTAGCGGATAGAGACAAAAAAAACAAACAGAAAAGGCGGAGAAGAGAAATTAAAAAAACAAAAAATAATGATTTTTTTTTTATTTTTTTTTTGAAAGCTGTAAACTGGGCCTAGCGTCCCTTACAAAATTAGGTGGGGCCCTCAGCGGGCAAGGCATCACCGGCCAAGCACGTCGAGTCTGTAGAGACCTCCACTAGATTTCACCCCACAGTCAACTCCACAACAAACTCAGCCCCTACCACTGAAAAACCAAGGAAACTTATCAGCAAAATCTAAGGTCATCACCAAGAAACTCTTATCACAACAGTCGTGACACACTGACAACAGTCTAATTTTGTGACCCAAAGTTCTTTGTCTTCTTGGATTGGATGTATCTTCTGTTTTTTTCTTGGTTGTGTTTTGTGTGAAGAAAAAAATCAAGGAATGAAAAAAAAAAAAGGTCCTGTTTTTTCGCCAGGGGCCTGGACCCACTAGCGAAGTATTCTGCTATGTGTGACAGTGTTTTTGAAGGTTTTTAATGGTTTGTAAGTAGTTTGAAAAGTGAATGAAAAAGCATTCTTTTCGATTGGTTTCATTTAATTGTCAAATTTGTCGTAACTGCCTCCCACGTACTGCAAAGACGACGAAGAAGACCACATACAGAAAACTGAAGATGCGACGAGGACTCGGAGGAGGAAGGGGTTCTAGTACATATGTAGGTCGCATGCGTCTTTTACGTCCCGACCTCAAAAAAACCACCATGTCAGACGAAAAGGACAGTTACTGCCCACCACTTTTTTTTTTTTTTAAGTGCGAAAAGGGTTGGCCACCACTTTTTTTTTTTTACGTGCGGAAAGGGCATAAACAGCAACGCCTCAAAGTCTTGAAAACGCGCCCCCCCTCGTAAACAGCAATCTCGAGAGTCTACTCGGTCCCTATGCGTCCTAGTGGGGAAGGGTACGTCGAGTGGGTAGGCTGTCAGCGGTGTGTCTCCCGAGCTCACGGTTCCTGGATCAAGTACAGAAATACGGGTACACCTTGGTTATGTCCCTTGTGCCGCACTGATAAAATTCCGACGGAAGCTCGGTTTCTCGAAGCCACGCCGGAAGTGTTGGAAAAGACCGGACGAGGTATGGACAAATTTTGTCTTGATAGCTACGGTGGTTGGGAACTCCCTCCGAGACTTCACTAAGGAGGACCAGAGGAGGGCCAATGAGAGGGCACGAGACTACCGATGGAATGAGGGATGGTTAGAAAAGCGAAAGACGGATGGTGGTGGGATTTGGATGTTCGTGCCTCATCCGTTCATGAGGTGTGACTGGGTTAAATCGGCCCACGAGGAAACTGCGGTTCACTTCGCCGTCTGGATCACTGAGGCATAAAAACGAATGGTAGTGGTCCAATATTCGCGACGATGTTAAATTCATCGTCCGAAACTGTCCCGTGTGTGCCGCCGACAAGGCGCCGATTCAGCCCGTAGATCGATAGTGCCCACTATTGTGAAACGGCCGTTCCAGAGAGTTAGCATGGATACCACAGATATTGTCATGCCCCCTGTATCAAATAGCTGTGAATATTCACTTCTTTTGGTGTTTGTGGATCACTTTTCGAAATGGATTGAGGCGTATCCTTATAAGACGTGACAAGCAGCAGAAATCGCGCGGTATGTCAACCGTTTTCTCGGGATGCATCAGGACACATAGGAGATCTTAACAGACAATGGGGCTTAATTCTGAGGGGAAGTCTCGAGGAGTCTGGTCCCACACGGTGTCTCAGTCCACAATATTGCTCCCCATATGTCACAATCGAAAGGACTGGTAGACAACGCCAATCGAGTGATTAAGACAGCATTACGATGTAATATCGCGGCAAAAGATACAAGGCCTTGGCCCGATATCGTCGACCACATCTCATCGAGGGACACCCCACGAGTCTACTGGCCCGATGGCCCTGACCCCCTTTCAATTATGGACGAATAGTGTGGCCAGTGTAGCCCTACCGAGCCTAAATGATGAAACAACCCTTCCACGACGAGCCACTAGAGCGACGGTCAAAGATAAGGCCCAACGCCACCTGAAATTAATGGAAAAGGCCCTCCCCAAGCTAACCCGAAAAAGGCAAAGAATGACTGAAATGGCCCACGGACGGCAGATCCAGAGTTACGAGGCCCGAAATGGGAACGCTGGACCTCGACCCAAATATAAATTAGGGGACATAGTGCAGGTGAGGAAATGTGCTCGCCAGGGTAAGCTAGCGCCACGATTCTTCGGGCGATTTCGCGTAGTCGAGCTCGGTCCTAGTGGAGTGAACACGGTGCGGCTCGCGCCGGAGGTTTCAGGAAGTTCATCAACTCGCCCGGTCATTCGACACGTGTCCTACCTTCGTCCTCTCCCATCCTCCCCTTCTCTTCCATCATCCACGTCGTCCCTCGACCGCAAGGAGGAAGACGACCATCTCGACTACCTTGATCCCTCTTCTTCTCAGCCCTCATCTCCCTCGCCATCGACATGAGTTTTTCCACTGAACAAGTCCTCAGCAAGCGGCTAGTGGTACCTGGGGGAGCCATCTCTGCAATCTAGCAAGTGCAGCGTCCTCGACTAAGTCCAAATCTTCTTCGATTTGCGGCCTTCTTTAGTACAACGGCCATCCACGCGGTGGCGGAGTTCCGATTCACGCAGTCCGAGGCGGCACGTATATTGGCCGAGGTGTCGGCCTTCCTACGCCTGTCTCAACCTGGTGAGAGCCACGTGTCCATCATTGTCGTCTTTACAGGCGACATCACGACACTGCATCCGGCGAGGCATACCGAGATCTTCCGGCAGATGTGGGGCTGGGCAACAGACATCACGACTGCGTGGGTGCGATTACTGGCTCAGACGTGCGATCACATTGTGACAGCCAACGACATCGATCTCCAGCTTCGGGTCTCCTCCACCGCGCCAGAGGTCCTCCTCCCGGAGCTTCGTCCTTTCCCCCAGCCTCAATGAACCGTTACCGCCTCTCCACCTTTGGCCTTCCATCCGGTACTCCTACGTTTTGGCAGTCTGTTGTGGACCCCGCTCTATCCTTCATAATCGGACCGTTGGACGTGCCGATTCTGGACTGGGCCAAGTGGGCACAGTGGTGGCACTCAGCTTCTGCCTCCTTGAAGTCGTCTTCCATTGGGTGGAGCCTGCTGACAAGAGCGAGGAGGACGAGATCCCGGACGACGAGGTGGAGTTATTGATCATCCAGGCCTGGAGGACGGACGCAGAGGGAGAGCTTCTCGGGATCCTGTTCGAGGAAGTGCGCGACGGCCCAGCTGCTAGAAGGTCTGCCTCTGGAGATCCTCTCGCGCTGCGATGAGAGACCGGGGACGGCCATGCTCGCTCGTACCTTGGTCCCCCACCTCCTGTGGTCTACGTGCACGGAGCTTTACGAGGATAATTGCTACTATTCCTCTGGCCCTCTGGGGCGTCTACCTGGTCATCGACGTCACTGATCTTTCCCTATGGGACCCTCTCATCCGGCAAGAGAACGTAGGAGAAACCAGCCAGGAAGTCGAAGAAGCCAAAGAAGAGGAGGAAGAGGAAGAAGAAGCAGCTGAGGAAGAGATCCAGGAGGGCGATCATCTTCAGTACATGGAAGGAGAGGAAACACGTGAGAGAGGCAGACCAGCGACAATCCGAAGGGCTTACAGGGGGGGTTGCAAAAAAGGGTTGGGCTAATAGACAGAGGGTGTTCTAAGAGGGGACGGGTATCATTAGCAGCCCCAAGGGACAATGGAGACCCGGGACTGAGCAGAGAAAAGCCCACAGCCTTACGGAAACATGAAACAGTAATCCACGAGTTATAGATTGTATCAATGGGACGCTGGACCCGTTTTCCAGCAGGTGCTGCTCCCCACCAATAGATGGAGCAGCCCACCAGAGAGGCCCTCAATCCTGATGGTTCTCTTACCACCACCACCGGGATGAGAGGATCGGTCATTGATTCATTCTCCCTGTGAGCCATGCGGAAGCGCTTCCGGAGTGTCTTGTGTGCGGAGGTCTGCATGTGCCCGTTGACGAAGAGGGCGAAGAGGAGGAAGATCGGCCATAGCCGATAGCTAGTTAGAGGAGAAGAGAGACAGCGGCCATAGTCGCCACATCAGCAACAGTAGAGTGTTAGTGTGTGTGCGCGTGTATGAGTGTGTTGTGTTTGAGTGTGCGGGACATCCAGGGATATCCAGGCTGTGTGTACGAACAAGTTGCTGGGAGTATGGTGTACAGCCATAGCCGTACGGGACAAGTTTGAATCCGAACAGTGTTCTTGGCTACATTATCTCTGAGCTTTGTGTGGGCGCAAGTCGCCAGCTTGATTGTCATCTGTTTGTACGCATGCTGGGTGTAGGTAAAGACAATTCTGATTGCAATTGCCATTGCAGTGAGTTTTTTCTTTTTTAATGGCGAAACTATGTGGGAGTCACAAAAATGAATTGTAATTGCACTTTGGGCCAAGGTACAGTTTCAACTTGCAGTTCGGGCGATGTATACAACCCAGCTTTCTGGCCACGTAGGGTGCCCCAAGTGCAATTCCAACTTTATACTGCCCCATAGTGCAATTATAACTAGTTTTTCTGACTCTACTGAAGTTTCCCCTTTTTTTTTTACCCATTTTCCGTTTCTGTTTTTTTTCTTTCTCGGATTTTAATAAGAATTTGGGGTCCGTGCTCAGACAAATATTGCTTGTTTACCTATGTTACATAACATGTTTTGTTTTCAGGGTTTTTTTTTTTTTTTTTT